TGATTGTACAGCGCCAGTCCGTGAGATTTAAAGAAGGATGGACATCGCCTACAGTTTCATTCGCTCGAAGACATTTATAATCTGAGAAAGAGTTTGCATACAGCAGAGAAATGAGATATTTCTGTATGAGTTTGGCGCCTGCATGTAATATATCTGAAAGTTTCGATCTGACCAGGCTATTTATGATCACGAATCGAGTTCTTAGAAAAGAAGCACACTATACAGAAATAGGAAAATAACATTTGACACAAACCAAGGAATACTGAAATTCTATGCATTTAAATTCGAATAATAAAAAAAAAATGAATGGGAAATTAGTAAATACAAAACGTTTCAAATAATGATCCTTTCACTTGTGGGCTCGAGTCATCTTATTTGATCGATCTATCTATCTATCTATCTATCTATCTATCTATCTATCTATCTATCTCAGTTTGTTCAAATCTATCTATCACGGTCTATTGATATTTGTCTATCATGCCAGCTATCTATCTATCTATCTATCTATCTATCTATCTATCTATCTATCTATCTATCTCAGTTTGTTAATATCTATCTAGATATCTATCTACTTAAATCTGTATATATGCATGTATCACTGTCTCAGTTTGTTCATATATCTATCTATCTATCTATCTATCTATCTATCTATCTATCTATCTACGTAAGTTTGTTAATATCTATCTAGATATCCATCTACTTTAATCTGTACACGTGCAGGCATCACGCTGTCTCAGTTTGTTAATATCTATCTATCTATCTATCTATCTATCTATCACGGTCTGTTGATATTTGTCTATCATGGCAGCTAGCTATTTCAAAGCTATTTATCTTATTCTTTTCGTATCTATCTATCTATGTCATGTTTATCAATCTATCCATCTATCTAATAAACATTTTCAAATTTATCTATCTAATTTAGGTCGTATGTATGTATGTATATATGGATGGATGGATGGATTGATGTAAGTATGAATGCATGTATGTATCTCCTTTTCTTATCCCTACTTATCTGACCCACCACCGATGTGTTCACCACTACATCCCTGCCCACCTCCAGTATCTCCTCCTTTTTGATTGACTCTGCCCAACGTCACTGACTGTGAGTTGTGCTCTCTTTGATGAAAGACATCATTTATATTGTCAAAATTAATTACGAGGACTAATCAGTCAAAGGGACGTAGTTGTATCTTTCTAGAAGGCACTCTGCTTCGTCCAATCAAGAGAATATCCTGCCTTGACCCCAATTTGTTACTCAGATCAAAATTAAACCCCCTGACCTAATATATCTTTAACTACGTGCTTATGATTTTACTACCGTTACTGTCACCATGGATCGTATTTTCAGTTCGCTACCATTCGTCAAAATATTCCTTTGGGGACAAATCCAACTTGATCACTTCGCTAATGCATGAGTCTCTCTAGTGATTTACTATATATTAATTTATCTGTAATGTGTGATAGCATAAGGAATACATCAGGCAGACGTTTATAAATTTAACATTTCTCGATTTTATTTATGTTTCATCAGGGTTATTTTTGGAAAGGAATTATGGAAGAAAACGTTTCATTACACTGAATTCTGTGTTGTTATTTTTTTTTTCATTACTTCTCCAAGTATCTTTGTTTTGCGGTCTTAATATGTATGTCTCATTGTATCTGAATTATCGTGGGTATGTTTATGTCTGTCTGTTTCATTACTGAAGATGTTAGTCGAAGGTAAATGTTAGATATGTCTGCGTATCTATTAAATTTATAGTTCGTTTTATAGGAGTTTGGGATGTCGTTACGTGTGTTGACTAAGGGTTAGATGTACGTTGTCAGTGTTGGAGTAAAGTTTAAGGATGAAAAAGAATCCAACGTATCGGAAAATTTGATGGTACCTGTGTGTTTTGCTTTAATACTATTGTTATTATTATTTATATTTTTTATTGAGGAAAAATCGTGTGTGTTAGGAAATGTTGGGTATATTGATATTACTATTGTTATTTTTATAATATACTAGTGCGGACTTTTAAAGTAGCTACTTCCGAGAGCAATTTGGGCCTCTGGTCCATGTCTAACAAAGTCTCTTGTCCAGCGTAAAAACAGCAATGATAAACTTGAAGAAATAAATTTGACTTCCTTAATTTACTCCATGGAAATTTAAATCTTCACTTTAACTCTGATTCCGGTTATTGCTGTCAATATCTCCATTTAGGGGCGAAAGTTTGATTTCGGCCGAAAGTTTGATTTCAGCTGAAAGTCCAATTTAAGACGAAAGTTTGATTTCAGCCGAAAGTCCAATTTAGGACGAATGTTTGACTTCAGCCGAAAGTCCAATTTAGGACGAAAGTTTGATTTCTGCCGAAAGTCTAATTTAGGTCGAAAGTTTGATTTCAGCTGAAAGTCCAATTTAGGACGAAAGTTTGATTTCTGCCGAAAGTCCAATTTAGGTCGAAAGTTTGATTTCTGCCGAAAGTCCGATTTAGGACGAAAGTTTGATTTCTGCCGAAAGTCCAATTTAGGACGAAAGTTTGATTTCTGCCGAGAGTCCAATTTAGGACGAAAGTTTGATTTCTGCCGAAAGTCCAATTTAGGACGAAAATTTGATTTCAGTCGAAAGTCCAGTTTAGGTCGAAAGTTTGATTTCAGCTGAAAGTCCAATTTAGGTCGAAAGTTTGATTTCGGCTGAAAGTCCAATTTAGGCCGAAAGTTTGATTTCTGCCGAAAGTCCAATTTAGGACGAAAGTTTGATTTCTGCCGAAAGTCCAATTTAGGACGAATGTTTGACTTCAGCCGAAAGTCCAATTTAGGCCGAAAGTTTGATTTCCTCCGAAAGTCTAATTTAGGTCGAAAGTTTGATTTCAGCTGAAAGTCCAATTTAGCACGAAAGTTTGATTTCTGCCGAAAGTCCAATTTAGGTCGAAAGCTTGATTTCTGCCGAAAGTCCAATTTAGGACGAAAGTTTGATTTCTGCCGAAAGTCTAATTTAGGACGAAAGTTTGATTCCTGCCGAAAGTCCAATTTAGGACGAAAGTTTGATTTCAGCCGAAAGTCTAATTTAGGCCGAAAGTTACATTTCAGCTGAAAGTCCAATTTAGGCCGAAAGTTTGATTTCTGCCGAAAGTCCGATTTAGGACGAAATTCCAATTCAGTCCGGAAATTTAGTTCTGCACCGTGGAATGTCAAATTTGTTGAGTTCTTCAAATCACAAACGCTGCGGAACTTCGAAACCTCACGTCATTAAACCTCCCACTTTAACTTTGATTCCTTGGCGTATTGGAAAATAAAATTGATTTTCTCAACTCACACTGTTTTGGAGATATTTTAAAATCAATTTAAAAACATTTTTTTTTAATTCACTAAGTTTTTATGCTACTTTAAATTCAATATAATTTAAAACTTTTAAATTCACTATTTTTTTTTCTCTGATTTCAAAATTTTAATTTGTAACATTTCCCTCCTCATCCGGACACAAATCACAATGCTCAAGCTTCTGATAAAAGCCAAGTTTCAATCCCAGGACCATCCTGATTCTAAAAAGAACAAGTCTAGCCCGAGTCAGAGGGGTTTCAGACACACGGAATGCGCCATATATATATATAGAAGACATTTCTGTATATCGGTAGATGTTTGGCATCTTAGGGTGAAAGAAAAGGGTTACATCGTCCGCAGATTCCTATATCTGACATTTTTTCCAAATATGACATTTGTGAGTATTGATGTTACGAAAAATACACCTGGCGTGAGTTTATCGATGGAAATATGTTAATTAATATTCCTTATAGATATTTCTTCGTAATGTAGCATTTTATGAGAGTGGTATTTTATAAATCAATGTTAAGACTTGTTTTGATTTTGTGTGCTATTAAAGAGTTTAGTGAGTTTTCCCGGCAGTCTTTCTTGTGTTCGTAGATTCGGTCTCTTATATAATGTTAGGAAAATTACATTTTCGTGCGATACGTTTCGTCCTAAAATATTTAGCGGACTAAACTGATATTACTGTTGTTATTTTTATAATACACTAGTGCGGACTTTTAAAGTAGCTACTTCCGAGAGCAATTTGGGCCTCTGGTCCATGTCTAACAAGGTCTCTTGTCCAGCGTAAAAACAGCAATGATAACCTTGAAGAAATAACTTTGAATTCCTCAATTTTACTCCATGGAAGTCTAAATCTTCACTTTAACTCTGATTCGGGTTATAAGTCCGATTCCTGCTAAACATAAGAAGGTGATGCTGGAATATTAAGCTTATGTTTTTAAAAACTTTATTTTCATATGTGTTTCAGTATCTAGTCTAGCGAATTTCATTTAGGTTCTTTCCTATTGAGTCTGTCTATATTTCTGAGATGAAGTATTATGTACATTATTTACATTATTCATACCCAGATGTCATCAAGGACTCATGGCACAGTGGATAAAAGCGTTGGTTAGATCCAATTACAGGACCCAAAGAGTGTTAGTTCAATACCCGGTTAAGGCAGTGGAGAACTTTCAGAGGGGAATTAACTGATAACTGACATCCGTTAAACATGGCACGTAGAACTAGAACAGTCTACCCCAGTGAGCGAAATAAAGGGTTCAGCTCGACATTCCAACCACCTGAAGAAGGCCGGAGCGTACAACGGCAGAGTCGTTGTAATAAATATGGCGACAAAGCTTTTCTTTTTGTTTTTATCGCTTTTTTTTATTAAGTATCCTACATTGTAATAATTAAAGTTTTGTCAAGAAAGGTGAAATGTTTTATGATCCTTTACGTACAGTTGTTATTAATTTTTCTAACATTATTCTGCTATATGAATTTGTATATATCCTTTTCTCCCATATATACCAGATGGAATGAGGTAGTAAATCTAGTTTAAAAGGGGCTGGTTTAACGGTTGTAACAAGAATGGCAATATAGTTCTTGCTACAAGATTTTTAGTAAAGTTGTATGCTTCTCTTCTAAGAGGTCTCTTGCATCACTCAGTTTCTGAATTAAGTTTTAACTGCATCATCTTTCATTTATTAGGTATCATTCTATGAAAGAAATGTCATGGTAAAATAATCCTGCTTGTCAGTAGGATTATGATCTTTAAAAACGGTGAGCTTATAAACCTTTAATAATACATATCGAGAGAAGAAAGAAAAATGACGCACGGCAATGTGAGGAGATTACAAGCTTTTATTCAATAACCTTGAATATAAGGTTGTAATCTGCCAACTAAAGACAGGCATATACCTATTTTATAATATACAGGAGTTGCTAGAAGATATTACAATCGTAGAGGGCATGCGATTATATTAAATAATAAGAAATATTTGTGAAGAAAATCTCATTGCATCTAATAGTTCATCCTACGTAGAAATGTAAAAGTGATTATATATATATATATATATATATGTGTGTGTGTGTGTGTGTACATATATAAACAAACGTGTGTGTGTTTGTATACATACACAAACACACATAGATAGATAGATAGATAGATAGATAGATAGATAGATAGATAGATATAATACCAGTACTTTTGTAAGGATTCAGTAGACATTAATAAGAAGAATGGTGACAGCCTATTTTTTCATCAAGTAATGGAAAAAAATATAGCGACCTCTTCCCGGATCCTCCAAGGAATTAGAAAACATAAAAGATTTTTTGTATTTCCATCAGAATCGTTAATCAATTTTGAAGCAGTCATTTTTTTTACAATGCCAAATACTTTTTTTTCTACATTCTCAAATCCTTCATCTTTCTTCTATATTCCGAATCTTTTCTACTATATTCCAAAATCCTTTTTAATTTTCTGTGAAAGTTGTCAATTCACAGGTAATTGCAAGTTTATGGACGCAGCAATCCCTTGGGAAACGAGTGGGAACATCATGCGCTGAGACGCATCTGAATAAACATCAAGAATCATGTTGTTTGCTTGGACAACCCGAACATATAATCTCTGAGCTTTAGACAATACTTGAAACATGAATAAACACTTCAGAATCCATGTGATCGGAACAATAATATAGGAATTCACGATAACATCCAAAGTAGGATCTGCAATGTTATCGGCCTTGACCTGTAATCTCGGCTTCAGTTGATTTCTCACAGCCATAACATACTCCCTGTCCTTTTCCTACAAATATTTCATTATAATTTTCTAGTGATGAGCTTTCCTCTTTTCTACACTGAATTTACAAAGATAAGAACAGTATTAGATTGGCAGGTAGATTTCATCAGTTTACGTTTTAACTTACTAAATGTAACCGCAGGTTCTATGCTAAAATTTTATTTTATTGCTCTTAAAAGATGAAATGAAATATCAATCATTATCTTCTGTAATTTTCCATTGTTTTCTTTGTTTAATAACGTTTTCCTTTTTCAATGTTCGTCCACACTCAATGTCCACTTCCGTGTTAATGGCTTTCTTGCCTTGCTTGGAATGAATTTATTAATTAAAACAGAGAGGGTTGTCTCAATCTTACTTAAAATAATTGCAATTCCTTTCATCACAATACAGAATAATTATTCAATTCATTTTTTCATGGTAGTCAAAATTGAAAAGCTTAAACTCCTTTTTTTTTCACACGGTATCTATAATGTATCTTTCACAATATTTCAAAGGTAAATTATCGTTTTTATTAACAGTAAGGTTTACTCTCTCCAAATCCCTGGAGCAACTATAGGTAGAGGTTTACGTTAAGCGGCAGTTTATAAGGATATGTGGAATATATAACTGTTAACCTTAGATATGAACATATTAAGATTGTAGTGATCGGGTAAAGAAGGCACTGCTTCAGGTACAGAAACTGTTCGAGTTGAAGTGACTCATCATGGATGGAATAGGGAGGGAATATAGGTGGATTGCTACAATATAAATCGCACAGCTGATCCTAGCCGTGAAGGTTAGTCTTAACGTAAACAAAGAATATAGTTCACCCCAACACTTTCCATGGAAGTAACGATAAAGCAGCGTGAAGCTTGGCATAGTGGAGGTTAGAGGGTGGAAAATAATTCATCGTCCAGAAGATCTAGGAGCCGCGTTTGAACTCTATCAGGGCTGGAAAATGAGGACTAGACAGCTCCTGACCAAATATGAGAACAATATTTCATTTTTGCCTTGATCTAGCTCTTGTAAAGTTAAATGATAGCAGGAGGAGTCAGGTACTTACGGTAACAGTACAGAGAGCCAAGCATTTCACCTGCATCTTAAGCGATGTATCGGATGTAAGTGTTCCATTTGAAGCCTGGCGTGAGTTTCAGGCCCAATAGCCTCTCAAGGCACGGTGTCTCCCCGACATCCGTTTATTGTGACTGGCGGTAGTTTGGAGTTCGATCGGCGACGGTGGAATGAAACTATTTCAGTTTTTGAGTAATTGATTATAACTAGGAATTGTTCCCCCACTGTGTACTTAGAATGTATGTTCTTTTGAACAAATTAAGATGGCTTTTATGGTAGAACACCTGAATATAACAGTTACATATACACCCTTGTGCAACTTAATTGAAACAACAGCTTTAGTTTCCTTTCTTTCAAAATACGGTTAGTTTTAAAACCACTGGAGTGACAGGGTGTAATCAATTTCTATTTTTCTTCAGATTAGGTCATTTTCTGTGGTGTGCAGAAATATGAATCTATTTTCGGGGTGTATGATGAAATTTGCCTGGCCGGGAATAATATTGCGTCATCTGTGATTGCAACACATTTTTATCACGCCCAGACATTATTGTCTCGATTGTCGATTAGTTGTCATTCGGCCATTGTCTGCGATCGACGTTAGTTACTCCAAGGAATCGTACGAAAATTGTAACGCTGCACGAACACACTTGTAATCTTTAACAGTGTGCAAAACAAAGTACTATAGACTGGCCAGAAAACTCTCCAGATTAAAAATCCAATGGTCAATCTGCAAGGCACGATATCATGGAATAGACATACGAAGTATTAGCATGTGCACTGGGTCATGATTCATTGGTAAAATACAAAGAGAAGTAAATAATAACAGAATTATTGGCTATGTTTCAATTAATCTGCACATAGAGTGCACAGTCAAGCATATATTCATCAATGTAAGGATATAATGAAATAAGTACAAAATGAAACTGATGAATTTTTCTTTACAAAAGAAATTATGTGTAAACACTAGACCAGCGTTTTCTAACCTCGGCTATATCGCCCAGTGGTGGATGATTCCAACTGCTGGTTGGGCGATGGACAACTGAATATAAAATGGGCGACAGGCGATTTTGGTGGGCGACATTAAATATTAATTATTAGTTATGAAAACACTCCAACGAGTGCACAGGATTGCCTCGTCAGTGATATTATGACTCTGAGTTTCGGGTCTTGCAACATCATTTTTGTTCGCCCAAGAAACCCTACCGAAACAGTACTATTCCGGCAGGCGATCCTGTAACAAAAAAAAAAAAATCTGCCAAGCACGGACTCATTAAATAACTGCCAATGGTGATCTTGAAATTACATGCGACCAATCAATAACGACTTACGTCACTTCCTCCGCAGCTAAGACGATACAAATAAAGAATAGACAGCATGCTTGTCATTTTTCTATCTTAGATCCAACGCGCGTAAAGACCCACATTCTCAACGAACAGTTTGAAATATCAGGTAAAGTAATGGCAAGAATTGTTTCCTTTCATAAGAAGGGTTACTTTAATAAAAATAAATAAACAAAATGTCGAACAAATTCAAAAAATGTATTTCAACATATGCGAGACGGAATAATATTCAAAGGAGATATGAAAAGAACTCGTATAAAAAAAAGCAAAACAGGGGTCAAATTCCTAGATAAGATATAAATATTGCCGCAAATAAGGAATATTTTGGTATTTTCTATCGTTTTGAGAAGAGTCATTCACATTCAAATATTTCTTCAAACGAAATAATATTTTTTCGGATATAAAGCAGATAAAGTAATACCAAGAACAAGTTTACCAGTAAAATGAATAATTCACCAAGAGACAACTTTTATTTAATATAAAATTGATTTTACCATTTTTTATCACATCGGCAATCTCGAATATATCAAGATGGGAAAAGTGGCAGCAAAAAGGTAATTTCGCCATCTTTTTTTTTCCTTTTTATGTACCATGTCATTTAAGGAAATAGGCGAACATAACTCTCCATGTACTTTTATCCCTCGCGGCTCACAATAAGTTCCTTCCCTCTGCTTCCACCCCCAAACAACGTTCTGTCATCCCCTTGCTCAACCCCGCCAGTCACGTGTTGTTTTCTCTTGTCTCTCTTTCCCCCTATTCGACTCGTGAGTGTCAGATTCTCCAGGCCCCCCCCCTTCCTCATTATGTTTCCCAGAAACTTCAGTTGCCAGTTCATGATGTTAATTATAAGTCTCCTCCTTGCTTGCATCATCTCTAAGACTTCATCGTTGCTCACACGCTCTGTACATGATATCCTTAGCATCCTACTGTAGAATCATATCAATGTCACCTCTAGTCTTTTCTTCATTGTTGAGAATTCGTCCATCGTTCGATGTCGTAAAGAAGGGCGGATGTCACGTAATAGCTTAGTGTTGTTTTATTTCTTTTGAATATTTACTCTACAGGAGGTCTTTGGAATTTTTTTTCCATGTGAAAGTGAACGAAAACACAAAAATGGTAAGGGACCTCTGTTCTTGACTATAAAAGCTGTGCAAAAGTTTCCGTTCATTTGTATCGTCTAAGAATAGGATATTTTAGAACATACGAAGTCTGACAGTGTCATTCCAGGAATGACCGCAGGCAAATATTTGTACCCGTGCACGTCTGGATATTGTCCAACTCCAGGTTTCTGGAGACGCAGTGTAGATGAGTCAGTCGTCGCTGCCGCTTACAAAAGATGACAGATTGATATGAGGAAATTACGCTTTCATCCTTCAGACAAAATGTGTTGGATTCTAAACATCAACAGTTTTATATTTAAGATGTTTCTCTGTAATCTATGTCTTAATAATAATAATAATAATAATAATAATAATAATAAGATGAAGAAGAAGAAGAACTAGAAATAATCTATTAGAATTTTCTAATAAATCTTAAGTTAATTATCAAAAAGGTTCGTTGCGAGTTCCACAACTATAAAATACGCGCTTAACAATAATGCATTAATAATTAAACATATATACAATTAAATATATATATATATATATATATGTGTCTGTGTGTGTGTGTGTGTGTACGTGTGTGTGTGCGTGTATTGGTCATTATCTAAATAAGTAAAAGGAAACAAATGAAAAGCTCTTGATTTTGCATTTCAGTAAAGCAGACGAGAAACACACGACAGTGTTAACGCTTTCTCTATCGCCTTTCTTTCTTTATCTACCTGAAACCAAACAGCATTTCTGAGACGTCTTCCCTTGCAATCAAAGTGATTCATGAGGTATTGGCTGGGCGTAACGTACATGTTATCTAACTCAAGAACCAAGGATAATGAAGAATAATAAAAACAACAAAACAACAACAACAATAATAATAATATTAGTAATACTACTACTACTAATTATTATTATTATTATTGCT